TGATTGGCATAGCATTTGTCCCATACTGCTTGACGTGATTAAACTATGGAATGATGGGCTCCCAAAAAAATGTTATGGGGAAAAAAAATGAACTAAATGTAAAAATACTGTAAGTTGTTGGCACATGAAGGTATCAGAGACTTTCCATATGACGTCAATACCACAGAAACCACTAAGCCAGTAGTTCTCAATCTTCCTAATGCCGCGTCCTGTAATACAGTTCCTCATGTTGTGGTGAACACCCCCCCTCAACCATAAAATTATTTTCGTTGCTACTTCACAACTGTCATTTTGCTACAGTTATGAAAGGGTCGTTGGACACCCAAAGGGGCCGCGACCCACAGGTTGAGAACCGCTGCACGAACCTGTCCAGCCTTGGCCAACTGCGATGCTCCCTTGGCTCTCACTACCTGTCAGGTAGGAGCATGGACCAAAAACTTATGTACTAACACTTTGTAAAATAAAAAAGGAAAAGTCTGGAGATGATAGAAGGTCTTAGTACTTAGGGCAGGGAATAAACCAGGGGTGGGTCAATGAGGCTGACCCAAGTACCAAGAAAAAGTGCATAGACAGAGAGGAGGTTTGGGGCTACGTGCACATAGCCCGTTTTCCTTACTATGCACACTTTCAAGATCCGAATCTGATGTGCGGCTCCTTGTTTGTAAGTGTGCGGTCAGGTCTGGTTGAGGCTGATTCTAGCAACAGAGAATCTGAAGAGAGGAAAGAAACAGGGAGAGTAAGATGTATTCCCTGACAACTGTGTTCCAGACGGCGGACCTAGAGTTTTATTTAATGAGTAAACATTACTTTTTATTTTTTATTTAATAATTATTACTTAATTTAATCCTGGCCATCACTGTCTGACATAAATGTGAGTTCGCCTAATCTATAGATGACTGACTGAGAATTGGGGGCTTGCCCAGAACTGTGGTAGATACTCTGGGTTACCCAACACTAGTAACACAGGCCACAGTGACTCTACAATTTATTTGGGAATTGGCCAAATGATATGCTACTATCAGTATTATACACTGCTGTCAACATGCTGAATAATGTAGTAGATACTTGAACAACAGAATTTTAATTGTCAGGTGATGATACAAAAACATGAAATAAGGAAGATCATTATTAGCGTGGTTTAGCCCTTACAGAGGCAGGGAAACTTGGGCTCGAAGCATCTGAGCGAAGAGGAGGCGTCTGAGATGAGGTAAGAGCCTGAGCAAATAATTTTCAGTGATCTCACTCCAGGGGGAGAGGTGAGACTGCTCAAATCTTCCGGCAGTAAGAAGGAAGAGGAAATGCCAAAGAAACATCCACAGAAGTTCCCGAGTCAGAGGACACCGGGCAAAGAGGGACGGATCGCCCAAGGTCGTTCTGAAACTTCACACTTAGGGGAGCAAACGCTGAGAAGGTGACCGCTTGGAAGGCGAGGTGGCCATGTTGAATGTGCGGTATTCATAGAAGATTCTAGTGGAAAAGTTGGTTTAAAAAAAATTGGACCGAGTAGAGAATAACCTTATGACAGGAAGAGGCTAAAGTATAATCAGCCAAGAAAAGTAATGCCGGAAGGGCAGAGGTTCAAACAGATGGACGACAGTGGGGAAAAGGCTAGAGAACCTGAGAGAGATGGAAGATGCAGTATCGCTTTGGTTGAGAAATTGAGGGCAAAAGACAAAAGTGGCAATAAAATGAAAACAATGACAGCCCTTCGGCTCACCTGTCTACAGGGTCTGCTTGAGAAGTTGGAATGAGAAAAGAAGATGCAGCACAGTCAAGTGGGTTGTGTAATTGGGATGATTTTAGAGGAGAGGTGGACTGCCTGAGGCCAACAAATGACTTCTTTCAGTTACCCAGATGGTTCTGGTTCCGATATATGGTCCCTCGTTATACGGGGGAGAACGTGTTAGAAATGAAAAACACAATGACAGCAGCCGGGAGTAGTCATGAAGGCCCACGATGGTCTCCCATACCCAATCCACCATCTACAAATTAACTAGAGGTCAGCTTCTCTCATTAAATGATTGCAAAACAATGAATCTTCCTTCAAGCCACATCTCCTTACCATGACTACCTTTCCGGCCACTGTCTGGTTCTCCACTGGCTGGCATCAGTCTGAGCCCGTTCTTCTTAACTATGTCTCATCTATCTATCCCACTGTCATGACTCTCTCTGACTCGGGGTTGGACTGCCCTACCGCTGTCATCTCTTACAACACCATGGCACCTGCCTTCCTCTAAGAGCTATGTCTTCCACTGCGCACATCTCCGTAAAAAGGGTTTTCCTTTCCAATGTTCACAACCTGCTTGTCATGTCACTCTTGCCCTCAAGCAGGGTTTGGATTGTACTGTCCCTTTTTATAAACATTTGTGAGTATCATTTCCCTTCTTTCTATGAGATAACTTTAAAATAACTTGAGGCCAAGTTAATGGTTTCTCTCCAGGTTAACTCCCCTCTCCCGGTGCACCTTCAACGGTAAATTCTAGTTTGAAGTTTTTATTTCTAAAACACGGTCCCCCTCTTCTCTTTCCAAACTATAAAAAGTTCCCAGGAGCTACATTCCTAACCTCTCTTAACAATGTCCACTGTGTGTTTGTTCTTACACCCTAGGATGAGTTGTTTTCCCATCTCAGCACTTCCATTCACCAACTAGTTATTCTTTATTGTGGACAATTAGTGCCAGAAAAGGAATGCTCTTTTTCCCCCTCCCTCTCCAGATGCTAAGAATGTCCCCACCCCCACCCCCCCAAAAATCAGCAAGTCAAATCTGGCATTTTTAGATGTGCTGGGTTGAAAAGCGTGAAGAATCTAGCAGCAGCCCAAGGTGCAGTGCCGTTACTGATCAGGTTTGCTTCTATATGATACGTATCAAAAACTGTCACTAAAGTTAAATGAAAAACCTGAATTTTACAAATGACAGAAAACTTTTCTTTGCAATTGACAGGAGAGAGTGACAGAGCTGTTATTGCTGCTGTTGACAATAGCAAATAGAGCCATGCTCAGTCGCACTGAAAATCCTCGCACATCAACTGGACAAATGCAACGGAGGTAATGGCAAAATTTCTAGGAAAAAATGATGAACGTGTTTCTGTCGCATTTGGAATATGGCTTGATTCAATAAAAAAAATTACGGACTCCATTGTTCAAGTACCTCTTAACTGCCTATGAAACATGGTATTCTTCCATTGTTTTATGGTTTTCACTCCGGCTACTTGATGTGAACCTTACAAAATCCCAAACTAGCTAGAGAACAATTTGTCTTTTGAAACCCTTTCCCTCCCTCCCTCTCTCCCTGGTCTTTGCTTCAGGAGTTTGAGGGTTAGCGTCTTTCTTCTATTTTCTACAAAATTATATTTTTAGCTCCTTAGACTTCATGGCGCTGTATCTACCTGTAATTGTGCTGCAAAAGCATAAGGCGACGCCAGTGAGAGGCCAGAAGCAGACAAGATAACAAAAGGCTTACTTGTGGTCTCAAATCGCTGTGGGAGGGCAGGGCATATGGTGAAGTCCCTTCTGTCTTGGGCTATGCAGGACAAACCCAGGGTAAGACTTGCTTCCAGAACAGCCCCTAGGATAAGGCACTATTTCACTGCCCCAGAAGGTAAGGGCTACGGCCAAAGTCTAAGAAGGTTAACCACAAAGGGTAACACAGGATCTAGGCTAATAGCAATGGGCTTCCCAGACCCTAAAGACCTACTACCTATCAGTCTATCCTTCCTCTTTCAGGAGAACAGAGCAAAACCACCATGAGTTATTTCAGGAAGGCCAGATGTTATTTAATTCTAGTTTGAAAATATTGTGCCAGGTAGTTCTGAAATGTGGTTGTTGTTTTTTTCCTTACAAAACATAAGAAGTACTAGATCTCAATTCATTAGGACAACAGCAATGAGATGCTATTACGGGGATGCTCTTTCTATAATGGTACCATCTCTCGCTGCCTAGAAAGTGGTCTTTACATATATAAGCAGACAGGCAGAAGGGCTGTAAAATCCTTTCTGTAAAGGAAGCGTTACTGTCTTTGGAAACGTCCCACATGGTGTCATACTGGTAGTCCTTTGTAACGTAAAGCCATTAGATGCTTTTGATCTTTACATAATCATCTTTGGCCCCTTTAAATTAGTGCTTTCATAGTGAGCTACTGTAATTGCAGCAAAGTACACTTTTATATTCTGCCCAATGACATTCTGAATGGGAACTTACTTGGGAACTCTAAGTGCATACCCAAGTGGCTTCCCAAAACTCGCAAGGCGGTTACTTTCCAAATGCACAAGGTGAGCCACCTGACCACACAAGGACAGACCCCGCAAAAGTTCCCTTATCCTTTCATTCCATTTCCCCACATGCTTTTGGAAGCCCTGTCATTATACTCCCAGCTGGAATTGAGAGCTCTACACACATTTAAGATAAGGCTAGACAGTCACAACTTTTCTGATAACAATAGTAACCAATTTCTCTCATGAAGTAAATCGGATCCCTGAGGTGCTTCCACTCCTGCAAAGGATTTACCTGGCCCCCACCATGTTATTTTAAAAATTCACATTTTTTTTTTTAAAATTCACATTTTTTACAACTTCTCCTTTGCCAGTATGATGGTCGGACCATGCATTAATTTCTCTTCTTTCGCGTGTGGTCTGCTGATGCTACGACAGAGTGTCTGCGGACAGCACTTAGAATGCATTCCTAGTTTCGACTCGGGAGAGCTCAGAAACTGGCTGGGAGTAGACCTCTCAATGGCAACTCGCCACAGAATTCTCTGAGGAGTCCCTGGAGGGTGCACAGGGTGAATGAGCATGGCAGCTAAATACCACGCTTACCATTTGAGCCCAGCCAAAGGCGGCTTGCAAGAAAGGTGTGATGATCTACTTGCGCCACTGGAAACCCGACTCTGACACAGGGGAGTCTGAGACAACAGGTTGTCTTAAGCTCCTCTTCGAATACCTTTTGCATCACTTTGTAAGATGATGGAGGAAACAAAGCAGCTGAAAATAACAACTACTACTTACGGCTGACACAGTTTCACGAGGTCCTGGTCTGTGGTGTTGGGAGGCAGTCCTCGGATATAGAGGTTCGTTTTGCTCAGCTGATCCCATCCTGAGTTGCTACTGCTGCTACTGTTGTTATTACTGCTGGTGGTGCTGGGGCTCGGAGGGGCCATGGGGTGAGCTGGGACTAGAGACTGCTGAAAGACAAAGACAAAAACACCAGGCGTGTCACTTGGATACTAAGGTACTGAGTCTGATTCAGAGACCCTAAAGCAAACCCACTGCCATCATGTCAATGCCAACTCACAGCGACCCGACAGCACAGGGAGACCTGCCCCGGTGGGTTTCTGAGGCAGTAACTCTTCACAAGAGGAAACAGCCTCATCTTTCTCCCATAGAGCGGCTGGTGATTTTGAACTGCTGACCTTGCGCTGCAGCCCAACTTGGTAACCCACTAGGCCACCAGGGGTCCTCAAAGGCAGTTACAATCTCCAAATTATAATGACTTTACCAAGATTTAACACAGATTATCTTAAGTGCAGCTTCTCTGACGCACACATTTGAATACATCTTATAAAAGCATTGTTCATTCTACAAAACGAAGTCCCTCCCACCTGACTCCTTTGAGATTAAATTCACAACAGGATTTCACCAAGTAGAAAATTCTCTATCATTCATGCTCCTGACATGTGATTCAGTTTTTGCAAGATTAATTTATTCACCACTTAAAGAACACCTATTAAGACACCAAATGGCCTTGCATAAAGTATGAATGCCAAAGGTTTTCAGATTCTGGAAAACCTTTGACTAAACATTGCCAATAATTGTACTAGATGATGTTTCAAAAAAGAAAAATAAAGTTTTTCTTTGGGTATAAGACATACCAAGTTCAACCAAGGCCTCCATCCCCCCCGGAAAGGCACACTTCTCTGAATTCTGCATCCGACAGTGGCTTCAGTGAGACATCTGGAGAAGATTCACAGGCATGTTGCCGTCCACTTTGGCTAACTGGGTGAAATGTAACCCCTGTGAGAACAGTGTAGCAGTTGGAAGCTGTCCCAGGCCTAGAAGCAGCGAACCCAACTTTTGTAAACCATGTAACTGAGGGGCCAAGTGTGGTGTTACAGCCAGCAGCCACCTTGGGAGAATGTCTGAAATGGTGCTCACACCAGCTAATGCTGTGAACCAAGCCAAAGAAACCACAGCTCTGACGCTGCCACCACACACCCGACCTTCAGGAAGCCATCAGGCTCAGATCGAGAGAGAAGCGAGCACATCTCCAAGGGTCCTCACAGCAAAAGCACTCACTATCACACCAGAGACAGGATTTTTTCCCCACCACACAATAACTGTGTACTAAATGTGCTAAACCACAGACATCATGTATTGAGTAACCTCTGAAACAGGATACGAATCACTATTGTGTTTCCCCGAAAGTAAGACATCCCTCGAAAATAAGACCTCCCCCATAATAAAGCCCCCCAAAGCTATCTAACTCTGGACTCTAGCAGCAGGCGCCGCCGCATAGTTCACTGTTGGCTGCAGTGCAGCCAGAGCAGATGGGAAGTGTGAGTAAATGTACCATAGATTGTTATACATGGAAATAATGGTAGTAACAAGAAATTCTTGATACTGTAGGATTCAGTTTGTCTGGTTATGCTGGTTTGTGATGACAACTCCTACCGTACCATATACAGGTAATAAATTTCCTTTTTTGTTGTTCAACAATAAGTGTGTACAGTATTCTTTCTCGTTGAAAAATAAGATATCCCCTGAAAATAAGAACTAGCGCATCTTTGGGAGCAAAAATTAATATAAGACACTGTCTTATTTTTGGGGAAACAGGGTAGCTGTTCTAACGAAACTTAGTCGTATAACTTGAACTTTATTACCACAATAAGAAAACCAGGTGTATTTAAAACAGAATCAGGTGGCTTGGAATAAATGTTGAGAGCCTTTGCAATAAATATAACCTCCCTTACCTTATCAGCAACCTCAACAGTCCACTGCAGACTCCTGGCTCTGCAGCCAGGTGTCTCCATGAGCATCCCAATTCTACAGTGTCTCAGCCCAGTCAGATCCTCATTAATTTTAAGTCACTTTTGATTTTTGGCTGGCAGAATGTCCTTCCCATATGCCATGCTGTTATTTACATAAGGACCCAGGGAGTCCAGAGTAGCTGCTGGAGGTTGAGACACAGTCACTTGGTGAGAGACGGGCAAGGTGTGAAAGACGCTGAGGCTCTAATCCATCTCTACAGATGCAACCATCCCTCACGGTGGGCCAATAGGAGGCCCAGGAGCCAAGAGTTAGAGTGATGCCAAGTCTAGATCAGCTGCGACCTCTGCTCCCGTCTGGGGCTGAAAGGGATGTGCAGGCTGTGGACATGCCTGAATAAAAGTAAGGCATGGGCAAAAAAAAGAAAGAAATGTGCGGAACATAATTTATTCTGAAATTATTCGGGCATAAAGTAATGTGTTTTGACTCAGGTATTTATTTTGGGGGCAGCAGAAGTAGACCCGAGACTGACATTAGAACTTAAACAGCTGATTTAATACGTGTGGCAAGTGTCCCTCTTTATTCCAATGGTATCTTCCATTCTATAAAACACATGAGGAACACACACAGCCCTGCGCCATCCTGCTCAGACCCTAGGTGGGAGCAGGCTTCCTGAACATGCCCCAGAGGACCACTGGCCCGTGGCGAATCCTGCAAGACAAAGTTTAAGCTCAAATATTACTTTAATGCCAAGTATTTTTCAGAGCTGGCCAAAAGGCAGAGAAAACACCTAAGGAGATAACTCAAATGCCCTGGGTTGTCCATTTAAATTTTTTCTGGCATTCTCCCCCTGCCTCCCAGATTTTTAAAGCGAAATGTAAGTTTTTAATATTCACTGCAAGTAAAAATTGAATTCCTGAAATGACTGAACATGTATCCAAAGAAAGACAATAAAGCTGGCTAGCGCTTAGCTTGACTGTATTAAAAAATTTGGTCAACTCCAAAATTTTCACAAAAGGTTAGAGTACTTTTATTAGGGAGAACAATACTGCTATCTATTGTATATTTACTAATTGTTTATATGCATTTTACTTAATCCAATGAAAATGTACATTATTGTTTTCTCATCCTGCAGATTACAAAGTCAACCTCAAAGAGATAAAGTGATGATACACATCGCTAAGGCTGGAATTAGACTCAACAAAATCAGGGTCTTTAACAACACTCTCAATGGCACCTCAAAAATACTGTCTAAGTCCTATATAACCCATTTGAATGCTTTCATTTTTCTGTCCCTATCTTTCTTGCACCAGAAACCGAGGGCAAAGTGGTTACCCTTTTGGCTGCGATCTTCCCGGTCAGCAGTTCAAAATCACCAGCCGCTCGGAAGGAGCAAGACGCGGCTTCCTACCCTTGTCAATAGTTTCTGTCTCAGAAACTTCCAGGGCAGTTCTACCCTGTCTACAGAGTCATGATGGCAGTGAGATCTTTCTGGCAATTACCAGTTAATTACCTCTCAGCTTCATAGGCGGGGATACTTAATACCCTTGGGAATGATTTTTGTTCTTAAGAAAGTCAAACCCAACTCCCTGCTTCCATTCAGTCAATCTAACTCCCAGGGACCTGATAAGGACAATACAGAACTGCCCCCTGTGGGTTTCGAAACTCAGACTACAAGAGTAGAACAACTCATTTTTCTCCCGCTAGTTGAGCCACAACTATCACTCTGTGAGCTGCCAGGGCTCCACTGAAGGGTGTTCTAAAAGTCTACTGTATAATTCTTTTCATAATAGAAAGATCCTGCTAACCACTTTTGAAAGACACAGCGTATTACAGCTGAAAATTGACACTTTACAGAGGCATACTTTAAAATAGGGGGGGGGGATTAAACCTTCATTCATATATTGAAATGCAAATGACAAGTCTTTAACCATAACTTCAGAACTCTGATGAATTCAAAGCAATCACCACTGTGAGTCTGACAGCACAAACAGTAAATCCAAAAAAAAAAAAGAAAGAACCTAAAAAGGGAAATTATTTTACCAAACTCCATTTCATCATTGGTTGGTCTTTTGCTTCTCAAGCCCCTAAGTAGCCCTGGAACTTGAAGAGTGGCTGCGCAGATGAAACGTGTAGCTGGTTTAGCAGATACACAGACATAGGAGAGACGTCCAGCCGCTCTTTCCTGGGGCCCAGGGGACTGTAGCAGGTTGGACCACTGGGAAACACTGGGATTCCAATGGGTGATTTCCTGAAGTACCATTAAGTATACGCTGCTTTCCTTCCTTGCTCATTTCAGTCTGAACACCCCACTGAAACCCTTGGAGCCACACACAAGTCTCCGCTGGAAGACAGTGGTGTCTACTCATCAGGTGCTTTAGATGGGAATCAAACCCAGCTCTCTCCTGTGAACCATCAATGCCTCTTAGCAACACCACATACACGTCTAACATGCCCAATCCAATTTGGAAACGTGGTGAACAGGGACCCATCTCCTACCAACCTTAGTAATCTATCTTTACCACCACCACTACCCCACCCCACCCCGCAAAACCACCCCAGGACTAATTGTACTGTCTGGGGCAGGTCAACAAGCTTTGTATCCATCCAAGATGAAGCTAAACAAGCTACCGTATATACTCGAGTATAAGCTGACCCAACTATTTGCCGCGGCACCTAATTTTACCACGAAAACTGCATTAAAAATGTGCTGAAAAACTCGGCTTATACACGAGTATCTGTGGTCATTTGATTCTGACTGTAATACTGATATGGGTTGAATTTCCATACAAAATTGATGGAAAAGCACCCCCTGGACTTGGCAGTTGTATGAGCAGCTCCTCCCTGCACTCTTTTGCAAGCCTGGGTGTGAGTCCCAGGAGGCAAGGGGTCCCCGGCTTTCCGCTTTCCAGGCGGGCTTCCACTGTACTTGGTGACACTGCACACGGCAGGCACACTGGACTCGTTCTCAGGGGCCCTTCCAGACCTCTCACACACCAAGTCGTTTCTTCTACAGAAACGCAAGTCTAAAGATCCTTTAACCAAAAGAAGTAAAATTAACTGCATGTGAACTAAGATACATTTGTAAGCATGGACATTGTTGGGAATTTCTATTCAGTCACAAAAATTAAAATTAGAAGACCTGTCATAAATTCTCTTCCCTCATTTCCTTCCTATTACGAATAGGTTAAAAGCGATG